TCGAGCTTGTGAAAACGAAGAAGGAAATTTGTTCGGAAATTTTCATATACCTAGTAATGAGTTTTATAATTACATTCAAAAATTAGAAGAAATATTTGTAAAAAATTTTGAAAAGAATTGTTTTCAGAAAAATATTGGTAATTACTTATTACAGTTGGCACAAAATATAACTTTTGAACCACCATGTCCAAATTTCCCAACTTCTTATTTAATAAAATTGTTTCTTCGTATGCGTATATATTATACAATAAAACAACATAATAAATCATGTAAAAAGATTTCAAAAAAGAATAGGAAAATGTTAAATATTTTACATTTATAAATTTCCTTTTTTAATTTCATTTTATTCCTTTTTGTATATATACAGTCTTATTTTTATAATATTTATATTATGTCTTGTTATATATATGAATATTTGAATTACTATAATTACGATTTTATTAATTTTTATTAATATTTTTGATTCTATTTATATTTTATATATTTTATATATTTATATTTGAATTATATGTGCTTTTCATTGCTGTGATTCTTTTTTAATCTTGTATGCTCATTTTATATTAATTTAATATCTGATTGTATGTTGCACGTGTATGTGTGTACTTTTATGTGTATACTTGCATGTATAAATATGTATTATAGAGATTTTTAATTAATTAATTTTTTTATTTTGATGTTTCAAGGATGAATAATTGGGGGCCTCAAACTTGGACAATAGAATACAACGTTTAATATTATTTTATTACTTATATTTTATGTATGTGTTAAAAGTTATATTTTATATGTAAAATTTTGTCTTGCATTTTTATTAGGTTTTTCTTTCTCTGATTTATGTCGAGGTGGATCGAGTAGCTGAGATATAAATCAATGAAAGAACTACCCAATAAAAATGGATTTTCTATTTTCTTCTCTTTTTTTGGTTTGTATTGAGGTGGATCGAGTAGCTGAAATACGGATCAAAGAAGGAGATAGAAGAAAAGAAGGTCACGATAATGTGTATGCATAATGAATATTATCTTTATTTCTTATTATGTATATATACACAAGTATAAAAATAAAATATTTTAGTTTAAAAATGAATACCTAAATTCTATTTATTTCCAACATTTTAATATTTTTTATAGGAATAAGAAGTATATTTTTGTATAGGCATATATGTGTAATAATATTTAAAAATATGCATAATATTGATAAATATTTGTTTCTTATTGTTGTATTAAAATTAAAATTTGATTTATCCCAGTTAATTATTTTTATTCTAGATACATAAAAATTATCTTATTTAATTTAAAAAAGTTATTATTAAATATTTTTTTATAATTACAATAATTACAGTAATTATTTTCTTAAATGTAATCCGTATAACATTAAATTTTATTTTTTGTTGTTTATATTAATATCTTAAGACTGCGATATATATAATGTATGTTTTCCTGCTGGATTGCTTACGTTTCAGTTAGAAAATCTACGTTCCGTATGATGCAATTCTAATAATTTACAAAAAAGCAAGCAATCTAACAGGAAAAAACGCATTGTAAAATTTATTTTGTTGTCAGTAATTTAACGTTCCTCATTGTATCGTTTCCTTCTGATGAATACGGTCACATATATGTTTAGTCAGTCTAAATTTATGGAATTATGAATTTAAATTGTGTAATTATGTTTTTGTCTACCAACAGGGGTGAGTGTTTTAATATTTAAAAAAATTTTTTGTTTTAATTTTCTCTGGATAATTTTTAATAGAACAATATATGTTATTAACTGTCTTTTCACAGACATATTACTGTTTTTAAAAAATGTTGCTACACATCTTCACACGATGCTTTTACCTCTGGTTGGTGCACGGAAACATTTTGTTAATTAACAATAATTGTTTTTCAATTGGCATTATAACTTGGAGTATATGGAGCTTTGTATTATTATCAATTGGTCGCTGAAGATGGTCTAAATCACAGACCGAAACGTTCGACTGTATTTTTAATTGTAAGATTAAATTAATTTTTCGCATGATCAACTGCGTTTGACTCTTTATAGCCTTATAATTCACGATTGTTTATTTGTTAATTTGTTTCTTATTGTTGTATTAAAATTAAAATTTTATTTATTCCAGTTAATTATTTTTATTCTAGATACATAAAAATTATCTTATTTAATTTAAAAAAGTTATTATTAAATATTTTTTTATAATTACAATAATTACAGTAATTATTTTCTTAAATGTAATCCGTATAACATTAAATTTTATTTTTTGTTGTTTATATTAATATCTTAAGACTGCGATATATATAATGTTTTCCTGCTGGATTATTTACGTTTCACTTAGAAAATCTACGTTCCGTACGATGCAATTCTAATAATTCACAAAAACGCAAGCAATCTAACAGGAAAAAACGCATTGTATATATGTCGCAGTCTTTAATTAAAATATTTTTACAGTATAATATTTATATTATACAATATTTACATAAGCTTATATTTTCTTATCTTTTTATTTTACAATGCATTACAATTATGGTCTATTTTTTTAAGTTCTTATTACATTTAGATTAATTCGATGTAGTACATACAAATAAGCTAGAGTAGCTAGAAAAAGATGGAAAGATGGAGAGTAAAGAGCAAGTGAGAAAGAAGTTTAGGTGGCGCGACTGGGCATCTTGCTTATTTCGCGCATGCGCACTCCATTTTGTGTGACACTAACATCAAAGGTGCCGACAGGGAGTTGCGCTACTGTATATACTGTGATTCTGCCTCCGTCGAGAGTTCTCGACAGTCATAGCGAGCTGCCCCTCAGTATCACTGCATCACGACTGACCAGCATCCGCCAGGGGGTGAAGAGTTCTTCACCTACGCCGGGAGTTCCAGGCCGCTGGTCATTGTTTACTTACGCCGAAAAACCGCGTTATAAATTACAGGCCGCGTAAACACAGCTGACAGACTGCCGTAGAGTCCGGCTAAAAATAGCACCGATACAGCTGATCGGTCGCGATAAGCGAGATTCGCGTAGGAAAAGCAGCACGGGGCTTTAAACGGCCCGACACATAGCGCACACACACGTACACTCACTCATACACACCTGTCCACAAAGTTATAAGCGACGCGCCGTACCACGTACGCCGAGCGCATACCGACACACACACACGCAGACACGCATACGCCACGCACACGCACACACATCGCCGGACTGCGTGCTTCGCACAACACAACGCTCGTCTTTACGTAAGCCGCTCTTTCGGCTCTTGTTCATTGTAAATCTATCAATTTCGACAAAGCGAATAAAGCTGATTTATTGTGTGTAGAACTTGTCCGAGATACTTGCTCACCCTGCATTTTCCTCCGATCGAACCTCTTTCGTATCTTGGAACGCGAATAACCGACGAGCTGCATCCGCGCATACGAAAGTTAGGTCGTTACAAAAAATTTTGGTTTTTTGTTCCGAATTGAAAATTGTGGGAGAAACTTTTCCGACCGTGAAGCCCTTTCAGCGAGAGGTGGTCTCGAATTTCGTATTATGTAGCCGCCATTTTATTTAAAAATGTTAATTAAAAAATTTTTTTATTTGCTTCATAACATGTATAATACACTCCTATAAACAGATTTTCCATTTCCTTTATTGTATCTCTGTAAAAAATTATCAAAAACATGTCTTTTTTTCGAGCTCTAGAGTGGCATTACCCCTTAATTTTTTGTCATAGAATGTCCCCGATTCGAAAAAGGAGACATATTTCTAACTTATAAGATTTAATATGAAATTTTTATAACCAAATGGAATATTCAATTTGTTTATTATTTCTAATAGTTTGCTAGGATTAACATTGTCATATGCCGCCTTGATATCCAAAAAAAGTTCTCCCACTACCTCTCTCAGACCAAAAGCTTTGTAAATTTCCAGAATCACCAAAGCCAAACAGTCGTCACATGATTTACCCTTCCTGAAACTAAACTGGAAGCAATGCTTTATTTTCTACGTATCTTTCTAATTTCGTTAAAATGAATTTTTCAAAAATTTTTAATATACATGAGGCCAGAGAGATGGGTCTATAATCTTTTCTATTTGTTTTAGGAATAAGGATAATATTAAATTCCTTCCATGATGAAGGATAAGAATTATCTTGAGTAGTATACCTAGGTATATTCTAAACTCATTTAATTCTAATGACATGTATCATTTGTATGTATATATAAACTTACCTTCTTAAAAAAAAGGTAGAAAAAGGCGCTAAGAGTTGGTGCTGCTGATCAAAAAACCATGTGGGCCAGTTTCACCAACGTCAATTACTTAATCAACTGTGAAACTGACCAATCACATTTGCTATTTAGTAGAACCATCTTTAAAAACCTACGTGATATTACCCTTATTTACTTAATTCTAATGACATGTATCATTTGTATAAAAGATTTGATATCAATAGTCGGCGCCAAGTTAAATTCTAATCTTTAAAAACCTACGTGGTATTATCCTTATTATTTACTTAAATCAATGACATGTATCACTTGTATAAAAGATTTGATATCAATAGTCGGCGCCAAGTTACTCTACCTTATTACTTACTTAATTTTAATGAAATTTATCTTTTGTATACAAGATTTGATATCAACAGTCGGCGCCAAGTTAAATTCTACCAAATTAAAAAGTAAAACACAAGTGGTACCTTTAATCTTTAAGTGAACCCATATAGTACATTTATTTAAATTCTTCTAAATTAAAAAGTAAAACCTATGTGGTTCTATCTTTATCTTCATACAATGAAACCTAAGTATATGCCTTTGTATTCTTATTAAAAGATCTTCCTATTCGAAACCAAGTGACTTAAATTCTTCTTTAAAAAAATTATATCACAATTAATTTAAAAACAAAATGAAAAAAATTTATTTAAATAGAAAAATTTTTTATGTAAAAACACTTCGCGCTGCTAGTTCTCGATCTCGATGTAACATTTTGTATAAAAGAGATTAGAAATTACGAGAGGTAAAGTATGCAGTCTGTATGTATATTCGCGTACAGTATATGCGAGTGAAATACATAAAAAAAGAAAAGTAAGCTGTATATTTATTAATTAAATGTAGCATTTAGAATATGTTTACTATAATTTTTAAATTATCATTACCATTACATATATTTGTATTAATTATTATAGCTTTTAGATAGTTTTCATTGTTTTTCTTATTCGCTCTAGCAGCGCGAAGTGTTTTTACATAAAAAATTTTTCTATTTAAATAAATTTTTTTCATTTTGTTTTTAAATTAATTGTGATATAATTTTTTTAAAGAAGAATTTAAGTCACTGGTTTCGAATAGGAAGATCTTTTAATAAGAATACAAAGGCATATACTTAGGTTTCATTGTATGAAGATAAAGATAGAACCACATAGGTTTTACTTTTTAATTTAGACGAATTTAAATAAATGTACTATGTGGGTTCACTTAAAGATTAAAGGTACCACTTGTGTTTTACTTTTTAATTTGGTAGAATTTAACTTGGCGCCGACTGTTGATATCAAATCTTGTATACAAATGATAAATTTCATTAAAATTAAGTAAGTAATAAGGTAGAGTAACTTGGCGCCGACTATTGATATCAAATCTTTTATACAAATGATACATGTCATTGATTTAAGTAAATAATAAGGATAATACCACGTAGGTTTTTAAAGATTAGAATTTAACTTGGCGCCGACTATTGATATCAAATCTTTTATACAAATGATACATGTCATTAGAATTAAGTAAATAAGGGTAATATCACGTAGGTTTTTAAAGATGGTTCTACTAAATAGCAA